GCGTGTCAACACAGGAGACAACTCAGGTGCACAAGCCTTTAGAACTATAGCTGGTATACTATCTGGTCCCCACTAGCTTTATTCACGTCTAGACATCGCAAGGTTTTGCGAACCTCCTTATTTGTGATACGAACCTCTGACATAGTGGACCCGCAGTGAGAGGTAATTCAGGTGGAAATATTGTTGCCATTGTCCAGACGTGAATAATAGGCAAATAGAGATGCAAACAAGTCCTCTTTAGCCTGCGCCAGTATGCCATCCGGTTTTATCAGCGGATGCAGTGAAGTTCGACAGAAGTTTCTCTCGACCGCTTTGGCAAGAGACCAAAAAGCTCTAGTGCCAGATGGTCTGGCGGAGAGTTTTGCGCCAATATGTTTAATGCGATCGAGACTGGCTCTCCATAATTCTTTTTTGTAGGACTTGGCGGCCTGGTCGAAAGTTTTCTTCTTGAAGCTAATATCCGGAGCTTTGCGGTGTCGAGCGGCAACCCAGGACAGGTACGCTAAATGCTTGCGTTTTACAGCTTGAGCGCATTCAGCGCTAAACCATGGGCGAGCTTTACTACCAGTGGGAGCGTCATGAAAGGGGATAAAACACTCCTTATCTTGACGGAACATATCGGTTATTGAATCCGTGCAGCTCGAAGATCCGCAGAAGAGAAACAGACCTCTCGCCAAGGAAAGGATGCAAAAAAGTGTCGCATCTCATCCCAATCAGCTGACTTGTACCGCCATATTCGTCGAATATCTTGGCACTCGTAATCAGGTGGAGAATATGACGATACAGATTTCACCAGACAGTGGTCAGATGTACCCAAAGGGGAGGTAACCTTTACTTCATTCCTGTCCGGTTCGGTAGCCAGCAGAAGGTCCGAGCAATTGGCTGTGTGACCGTCTACATCGTGTACCCTAGTCGCTTCCTTTACCAGCTGAGAAAGACCTAGCGTCAAGACAAAATTCCACGCTTCTCTTCCAGCATGATCGGTCTTCTGGTATGGGAACAGCCAGTCTTGGTAACAGATATTAAAGTCCCCCAGAAAGACTAGCTGTGCAATAGGATACCGATCTTATCCTATAAAATAAATAAAATTAAAATAAAAAACTTTTGGTAAATCCAAATGTGCACGCCTTAAGCGCTCATGTTAAACGTTAATTTTTTAATGTATTTTAAATACACACAATTTTTCACAAATAATCTTATTACCTGAAAAAAAGTTTCGAACACTGCACATGTAATAAAATTTATATATATATATATATATATATATATATATATATATATATATGTCCATTATTATAGCCCTTCAATGCACAAAGCATGGTCCTGAACCACCTGCATCCATCGACTTCATGCATGTTTTACCAGGTCGTCACTCCATCTAGTGGGGGGTGCACACTTCGCCTACCGGTACGAGGCTGCCACTCGAGAACTTTTACGGTTTGCTCGGTATTTTTCGCTCACTTTTTTTTAATTCGTGTGTTTTGGAAATTATATTTAGATACAAATTACATACTGATGAAATACGAACAATATTTTTTTGATCTTAGCGACATAATAGAAAAAATTTTTATCATGAGTGCAATTAGTTTAATTTACACTTTCGTGTTTTTAAAAAAATACTAAAAAGGGCTCGAAATAATAGATTTTCTCAAAAAAGAAGGGAACTTAAAAAAAATGAAAAAAGTCAGTCTGAAGATAGGACTCGAACCAGGGTATTACGATTTTATTTACCGCCCAATATACCTATTATACCTATTTATAATCATTAATAAGCTGTCAAAATTTACCTTCTTACTCCAACGATATTGTAGCAGAGTTTTATTGCCTGAAAACACGGATAAAACGACAATTTCTAAAAATGAATCCTAGCTAGATCGATTTATTGCCCCCGAAACTCCCTGAACACTAATAGTTAGTATAGTCTTAACGCGATAAAATCCGTATATATAGTTTTATTCGAGTTTGAAAAATCCAAAAGTGCACGACTCATGCTATGCTATGATCGTGAAAAAATGTAGAAAAAAAATTCCCAATCAATCCCCTCTTACTTACTTATACTTGGGACATCGCATGAAAACACTGTATCTCACAAGTAATATAAATAAAATACATATTATATTAAATTCGATTGCTTAGTGCGATTGCCAAGTCAATCTATTTATTTAAAACATAAAAGATTTTTAATATTGATATGGTCACAACAACATGTTGTTATGTTAGCTAATTACGTAACAACTTAAGACAGAAGGACCCTTATGTAGGGACAGAATAAATTAACCGACTTGGTATTACATGGATCTCACAACTTTTACGATAGAGGAACTGAGTTTCGAGACTTGGTTTTATTTACAAGTTTTGTTTTTGATAGCATCTCATTTCTTTTTGCAGATAGTCCTACTTTTTTCCTTCCGGTACCTTCTACTTCTTGATTACCAACAAAGTACCTATCTACACCTTTTATTCCATTATATTATACATATACAGATATACTGATTCATTCACTGCAAATGTAACTTTGTAATCCTATATATTTATAAGGGATTACAAAGTTGATTAAAACTACTTTTACGGATTTTATCGCGTTTTATTTATTTTATTTTTAATACCCAACGTTTCGGGTGCTTTCCAGCACCCATGGTCACGGGGGACTGAGGTGACTGACGTCCCGATGTCAAAGTTAACCCGGAGTACCTTCAGCTTTTTAATTATTGGCTTTGGTCCGATCTACGCAGAATGAACTAACTGAGTTTTGAAGTCTTGCAGTGTTCTTGTAGTTTGTTGCACAAAGATCACGTTTTGATGATCTGCAAATAGTTTTTGAAATCAAATATCAAAAACAGAAATAAAACTGTTGTGAAATGGCAGATATGCAAAAATTGATTGTTGTTCAGTGATGGGTGTGAGAATGCTCATCGAACAAAACTTTTAATTTATGCATAATTATATGTAGATGAAGCAAGAGATGTGTGTCAAATTGAAGTCCATAATCTGTGTCCACCCCTCTAGATGACAGGCGTGAGTTTATGTTTATATGTGTTATGTAATTCAGAACAAACGGAAATTGAATTAACGTGAGGGCATACCCGAGTGTGAGAAGCTGTAGAAAACAAGGATGTTCTTAATTTCTGCAAGTTATATAATAATATAAAAAAATATTAAAAATGATTGCGCACTTTTTTATGGTAACCTACAAATAACCATTCTGTACTGGTGGCCATCCTGCAATAGTGGCGACCATCAGAATCCATCACCTCATTTCGTACCGTGGGTATCATAAGAGGGGACTATGGAAAATGCTAAAAAATCTTATTCTTCATCATCATCATCATTACAGCCCATCACGAGACCACTGCTGAACATAGGCCTCTCCGAAGTAATGCCACAAACTACTGTCCTAAGCCATCTGTATCCATCGACTTTGGGCCGTCCAACACTTCATTTACCGTTACGAGACTGCCACCCGAGAACCTTCCTTTCACATCGGGTATCGATGCTTCGAGCTTTATGGCCAGCCTATTGCCACTTCATCGTACTGGTCCGTTGCTCAAATACTTTGGTTTTATTTAAATTTCACTGAAATTTTAAAGCACTTAATTTTTAAACTTGGCACTTAATTAGCTCCTAAAAACACTTAATTATGGCTTTTTCTAGATGTAAATTCCTGACATTGCTTGAATAAATTGAAATCAAGTAATTCTTTAATAAATAATAAAGTAATAATATGCAACCTAACAGTTTTGATACTTTAGATATATAATTGGAAACATCTACATATTGAAAGCGGATGTGGATATAAGAGAACCGTTGAAGCTTTTCAAAGCATATTATTTTCAACCCGGTTGAAAGCCTTATTACCTACTATCACAACGTTCCTGGTGAGACACAATTAGAATCATGCCCTGACGAACGTCCATTAATACTATCGATCCGGAGGAACCTTTATCATTGATAAAGTCTTTTTGAATTCTGTTATTTTAATATGAAATCATAAGTCTAAGCGCAATATTTTTTATTACGGGCCCCTTCTACTAAAATCATTTTCGCTAACACGGCATTTTGGCAAGTGTTTAGGTGCGTACTTTTTTTTTGTTTCTTTTTTTTAATGTGTATTTCAAAACTGTGAATATTGCAAAATTTTTAGGCAATTCAACTTTTGAGTTAATTTAAATTTAAAATACAAAAAATATACCGTTAGGCCATATCGGTCACTTTTGTGTTTCTGCGGATATCTTCATTTCTAAGTTTATCACAGAAACCCAAAGCATAGCCCTCTCCATAGCTCACTGCGCGACCTTGAGCGTCCTGATACGGCCAGCAGTGAAGGTCCACGTCTCAGATCCATCAGTCATCACTGGCAACACGCACTGGTTTTAACAATCTCGTTTTCAGGTTTTCAGGTATACCTGACGAGATGATTTGTCGTAATTTCCCGAACGCTGACTAGCTGAGTTGAATCTGTCGATTGGCCTCTCGGTCGTAGTTGGACTTTCCTAGTCGGAAAATTCACCTTAAGTACTCCTCAACAACTTCGAGGAGCAACTACAGGTGTTACCTGGAAGTTGCACATGATCTTTGTTCATGTTCATTTTAAGAACTTTTCCTTGAGACACTATTGATGTCATTTAGCTGAAAATCTTATGGTTTCCAATAAATGATGAATATAACAATCTTGTTTACGCCAGATGTACCTAATATACCCAGACTGACGAGGGGCAGCAGCTTAAAGGGTTCAAGACGTCTCATACTGTGATTGTCAACCTGCTTGCCAAGCAAGAGAAAACCTTCACGAAACCTTTCACGTTGTGGGGAGCATTTTTTTTTCAAATCTTCTATTGTTTGCTTGTCAGACATATCGTCTTACAGTTGTAACCGATTTCTACTTGCTCTAACAATGGACTATGTCCCCGGTACTTCTATGGTTGGCAGTGAATTTAAAAAAAAACTTGAGACACAGTAAAACTAAGAAAGTACAACCAGCTATAACATCAAAGGTACAGTAAATGATTAAGACACTGTATAATTCAATGAAAGTGAAAGAAATAAGAGTCGTTATAGTATATGGACGATGTAACTAGTATTTTAATATGACATACCCCTTTCGTCACTTCTATCCTTGCACATTGCACATTCTCCCGAACAAAACGTACCTTCATTTTCTCGTAATTCATTGTGGTTTATATGACTTTCGTACAAATTAGTTCTTAATGCGGAATCTAAGCTATGGACAGTATATTGGCATTATAGTCACCAGTCCGCTTGTCAAGATGTGACCCGTGATGATTCTGAAAAGATCCTTCTCATGAAGGAAGGCATAATATGTCTAGTAATAGACTTTTATTATCTCACGTGGATATTATATCAACGTTAATGTAATCTATAAGAAAAATAGAGGTATAATAAAATTATAATATAATATAAGAAAAATAATTAATTTTTATTTCGGCCGTTATTACTAAAGAAACATCCTCTATGTTAAGGGCTTAAACTATTTCCCGATGTGTTATGAGAACAATAATTCTTTCATGATTACTAATCTATTGTACTAGATATGCAAGAGCGTGTTGTAATAACCTTCTGCATTCCTCATATCCCTTTATATGTTACACCTGCGTTGTTATCTAACAGTTTCAACTTTGATCCATTAGTGCATAGACGATTAAAAATGCATTTCATTTTTAAATATTTCATATTGATTAGGTGTTTTGTTTTGTGCCAAGCCAGTTACAAGGAGCAGTATCGAGGTTGTATATTGTTTTATTCCTGTAATTAGGACAATAATTTAAAAAAATGGAGGCTTGAATTTTTTATAAAATACTTTAGTATGTATTTGATTTCATATAATATAATCGTTAAGAAAATCGTCAGTTTTTACTCCAGTGTGCAAAATTTATGAAATTTTACCTTTGTAAATAATCCTTAGTTATAGACAAATTAATAGTACGCTTTGGTTTAATAATACTGAAGTTATTTAGAATACCCTGTAAAATCATAAATTATTTAATCTTTAATATTAAACCAAGTTCAATTAAATTAAATTATAATAAAAAATATGTGTATAAAAGGGCAAAATAATATAATTTATTTTTATATAGTTAAAGTTTTAAGTATGTTTAATAAACGTTAAACAATACTACAAACAATTTACTTGTAGCCTCTTTCTCTCCCTAATTATTTTATAACCTTATGACATCCAATAGCTAGGCTAAGAAACAATTATTGCATCCATAATATGTAACCGAATATTGCATCCGTAATATGAATCCGTGTTGAGTGCACGCACCAACTTAACTTACATAATCATATGTAAGTGTTACTGAAAGTGTGCTGACGAAAAGCATTGTAGCTTAAATTGTTTCTCGCCACCATGCGAGTACTCGGTTTATTCAAGAGCTTATATTAATTGAAGTAAAACTTCTGTAGGCTTGATAACTTAGATTTTTTCGGACCGAAGTAACTTTCAGTAAAATCTACAATCCGTTTACGCAATTTCCACATTAAATGTAGTCACCGACTCGTATATCGCAAAAACTGTAAAAAGTTTGTTGCTATTTTGTCAGCCGATATAATATTGCTTTTGAATATTACAATAATATTATTTTAATACTATATAATATTTTAATATAATTTAATATAATATTTTAGACTTCCTTGTTAGTCTAGTGGACATAAGGGCAACTGCTGTTCTGGCCAAAGTCAGTAATTGGGTTTTTCTGTCAAGAAATTCTCCGCTTCAGCTCGGAGTCAGGAAAAGCAAAGTTTCGAAAAGCACGTAAAGCCGTTGGTCTTCGGATTATCGTTCTATCGGACTATGAGAGTGAGGCAGTAGAGAGTGCATCTGTGCTTGCGCATACACTTGTGTACTATAATCCTGACCTGCTCAGATGGTAAAAATTTGGTCTGGAGGATATTACTTATATGATATTTTATAATATTTCAGTGCCCCATGCATTTGCGCAGAACTGGGAGTCGTACATATTCAACGACAAAGAATATTTAATACAAAATTTGCCCGTTACCTGGGAAAACGCGAAGATCTTGTGCCGGTAAGTTAAATTTATTTTATAGAATAACGGTGACAAACGAGCACACAGTTCACCTAATGCGAAAGTAGATGCTGTGACACAGAGACGTACATCTATCCTAGATTAAGAATCAAAATGTTGATGCGCAGAGATGGCTAGTCTCCGTTGAGTATGGCCGTTGTTTCTTTTTATAGGATAGGGTTACAAATGAGCACAGTCCACCTGATGGTAAATGGTTGCTGTGGCCCATAGACATCTACATCCGTCCTCGATTACGTATATGCGTTGTCACCCGTGAGGACTAAGATGGAATGCCTCATTTCCAGTAAAAAGGCTCTCCGGTTCTCTACACTCACCATACGAAACAACACCATTAAGCTACTATTTTACGTTGGTATTCTGTGAGACCGTGGACCTTCCCCAGTCGAGCCGACCCATCCGTGTTACAACTATATTACTAATATAACTGCAGCATGGCTCTACCACGTATTAAATTTCGTTGTGATCGAAATTTGGTCCGGAGGATATTATATCGGCTCGACTAGAGAAAGAACACGCTCCCACAGAATATCAGCTTAAGATAGGATCTTAACGGTACTGTGTTTCGTGTGTAAAGAACCGGAGACCCTTTTAACTCGGAAGGAAGCACTTTATCTTAGTCTTCAGGGACGACAATGCATCTATATTTTGATTATTATTCGAGGATAGAAAGGGCGTCTATGAGCATTTATTGTCAAGCGGACTTTGTATTCGTTTGTTACCCTTATCCTAAAATAAAACGTAATTTTTGCAGTTTTTAGAAGGGGGTGAGGCCTATGTAATAAATAAATGCTAGACCAAAATTCGTTCTCATATCTGGAAGAATTTTTTGAAGCAAGGAAGAGTCAACCAAGCTTCAATGCGTATTGACTGACCTCGCAATGTCCCCGAATTTTCGATTTCTTAGATAAGCAGGTTACGTCTTTGTAATGCGATGTAATTCGAATCCGAGCACTTGGTAAGTCAGTACCCAAAACTGCAATTAACAATTTTAATCTTGCTGGTGAGGATATAATTTGCACTATGAAGTTTTAAGACGAGAAATTAAATCCCCTGAGCCGCCACGGCTCTGAGTATTTTCTCCTATATTGTGGGGCCAGTTGACATACACGAATTTCACAGGGACAAACATCCAGACTCGGAACATTTATTAGTAGGCCGTACTCAGCCGCTGGATTACAGAGCCGTCAAATTGTGTTGTATTTGTAAAAGGAGTCATTGTATTGTTGCAGAGGTCACCATAATGGAAACTTAGCGACATTGGATACGCGCGAAAAATCTGAATTCTTGGCAGAGGCTCTATCGGAATCGCAATTAGGTGGGTAAAAAAATTTTAGTTATAGAAGTGACATAGGATATAGAACTTTTCTATTTTTCTTATTATTTACATTTGGACTTGTTTTACGGCTTAACACACTTTTCGAACTTCGTTGTACATTTTTCTCCAGCCAAGTATTAATCGATAAAATTATTATAATCACATGATATTGTTGTTAGAGGTAAAAGGGTTAAAGTTTAAATGGGATAAAAATAAGCGAGGGAAGAACTCATTTGCCATTCTGTGGAACTGGCCAAATAAACATCACAAATAAATCTCGTGGCTTCCGAGTGAAAAGGGTTGACAATGACGGTATGAATGAAGATAATAGTGCAAGCGGATCAAGCATCAAGCTACGGTTGAACTAGCTTTTTTTACATTGAATCAATTAAATATAATTCAAAAGAATAGCATAGAAAGAAGGGAGTTTTGAGTTGAATTTTTATTATTGTTATTGCGATGAGATGTGGATTCCTTACGACAATTGCAAGCATCCATCGCGGGAATAGATCCAGGGATCCTCAAACAATGCCCAAAAGAGTAGCCAGAAGAAGCTTACGGGTTTAGTTGACAGTTTGGTGGTCTGAAAAATAAACAAAACCCAAGCAAACAAATAAATAACTGAGTTTGGAAAATAAATTACGTGCCTAATATAGAAAATATATTTGAACTTAGAATTCCAAGTCAAATCCTACAGTTCGAGGAAGCCAGTTTAACACAATGACAGTTTCTTTCTTCTTCTTCTTCATTCTTCTATAAGTAAATACCTACCTAATATATCACATAAACTGTTAATTATAAATATAAAAAAATGCGCAAATATTTTTTCTTTCCAGAAATAGAATCTGTTTGGGTTGGTGCAAGAAGAGACTCTAGCGACGATCCTGAAGGATATCGATGGAATCAAGGTGTGGAACTAAGACGAACTGCTGCAGATATTCTATCAAGTGAAAAGGACGAATATGCTGCTAAACATTACCCCTTTGTAAGTGTTGTTATCACTTTATAATTAATAAGTCGAGCCCGCATTTTTTACCTCTTCCAGACTTGGAACAATTATATTACTTCCAATTCCGTGCGGGGTTGGAAGTCACGGATCTCAGCGCTGTAACTCATTGCTAAGTCACTGCCCACAGAGTCGTCTAATTATATTTACTTTGACTCAGGGTTTTATATGTAGCCTGAACCGTGTTAAACATTATCATCATCATTACAGCCCCTTATAAGTCCCTTGCCGAACATAGATCTTCCCATGGACATGAATGTATTAAAACACGATCATGTGCCACCTGCATCCATTGACTTTCTACATGTCTTTTATACATGGTAGGGTCGGCTCAACCGGGAAAGGACCACGCTCTCACGGAATACCAGCGTGAAATAGTAGCTTAATTCGGCTGTGTTACGTATAGTGAGAGTAGAAAACCGGAGACCCTTTTTACTGGAAACGAGGCATTCCATCTTAATCCTCACGGGTGAAAACGCATCTGCCACAGCAACCACTTACCATCAGGTGGACTGCATGCTCGTTTGTCACCCTATCCTATAAAAAAATGTCTTAACAGGTCGCCGTACCATAGAAGACTTAACCTACGGTATATTTATGCTGCCGATTATCACTATTTTCATGGAAGAAAGGTGATGATAAAAGATTGCTATGGTCCAGACATCTACATCTATACTCGATTAAGAATTAAAATGTAGATGCGTTTACACAGAGAGATGTCTCCGGTTCAATACACTCACCATACGAAACACAGCAGCATTAAGTTGCTATTGTACTCTGGTATTCTGTGAGAGCGTGGTCCCTCCCATTCGTGCTACAAACATAATATAGCTGCAGCAAGGTTCTACCATGTATAAAAGTTTGCTGGTTCTTGGCCATGGTCCTACAATTAAAAAGTGTTAAATGAATATCAAAACTTAGCGAATTTGTACCATCGTCATCATTACATTTACATACATTCATAAGTCCACTGCTGAACTTAGGCGTCCCCCACGAAATGTTACAAAGCACGGTCCTGAGCCACCTGTATCCATCGACTTCCTGCATGTCTTACCAGGTCGTCAGTCTATGTGTGTAGTTACTCTGGTTCTACTACGGATATCCTCATTCTAAAGTTTATCACGCAGAGAAACTCCGAGTATAGCCCTCTCCATAGCTCACTGAGAAACTTTGAGCTTCCTCAAACGGCCGAGAGTTAAGGATCACGTCTCAGATCCATAGGTCGTCACTCGTATCACGCGCTGGTTGTACAATCTAGTTTTGAGATTTTGAGGTATGTATGTCGAGAAGATGTGTCGCAATCTCCCGAACGCTGCCCAGCCGAGATGAATCCGTTGATTAACCACTCGGTCAATTGTTAGCTAGCAAGTTGTTGGTTACCAAAACAAAAATAAAATGAATATTAAACATAGATGTTTTACTACTGCGTAGTATTAAAAAAAATGTGAGAAAGAAGTTTATAAGCCTATATTATTGACAGTGGCTGAATAGAACGCACGTGCCTGTTCCTGAGGGCGGTGCCGACTGCGTAGCTTTGGAGAGAGTTCAGCACGACAAGCCGGTGTTCTTGGACTTACCTTGTCTAATTGAAAGGCCGTTCGTTTGTGAGCGAGGCAAGTATAAAGATCTTGGTTGATAAATGAAGAATTTTTGTTTAATGTTGTTAATTAAAGTAGTTTTTATTACAGTTTGTAGATGTTTGTACAAAAAAGTTATCCAAATAGTCAATTGTCTGTGAGCTTTGATTTATATAAATAACATTACGCCAAGTAGTAAATCAAATTAATATTTATCATTATCATTACAGCCCTTCACAAGTCTAAGCTGAACATAGGTTATTCAATTAATATTAATACTATTTAAATGACAAAATGCCATCTGTTACGAAGTAGTGCATGAATAGCATTCCTGATATGGAGTGTAGAAGTAAAGAGTGCAGACTGTGTATTAAAGTGTCCACAGAAAACAGTTAAATAAGGGTGGCGCCACTATAGCTACGGGGTAAATTTTAAAGAACGCATCAAAAAATATTAGTGGGATAGACGACTTTTTCGAGGTTATATTTACTAAATAAAATTATTTTAGATTTTAGAGCTACTGAGCAGTTTAGCAGCACACTTAAACCGTCGACAACTGCTAAGTTCTTTTCATCCCAGTAGCTACTTCAGCGCTGTTGTGGAGAGTTTTTAGCTGTTATTTACTGCTTACAGATGGCCACTTTTTCAACTATTCTACTATGGGAGTTGGTGCTCCATAATTCCTGAATTTATACGAAGCACTATCTTACGCAAGTTAGCAGGACAATATAGTCCCAATTTGCTCATAGATGGTACTTTTATACATTACTTCAATTATTTACAGCACTTTCTTACGCTTAGTAGCAGAATAAATTAGTACAATAACTTTCCAAATTTATGTCTCGTCGCCGATAGATGGCAATTTTATTAACTATTCACAGCGCTATCTTACGTCAAGTACCAAAATAAGGCATTATATTAAATCACTTTTGCACCGATAGCTGCGATTCGTATTTGTTTTACTATTCACCGAAATTACAATGATCGGCTTCGCCAACACTACTCTTAAACCATAAAAAGTTTTATGTACTCAGTACATATCAGTGGTTTTAATTTATTTATTCAAATGCTCCTAAGCATTTCGTTTAAAAGTATCCTACCGTCAGCAGCCTTGCAGTCTATATAAAAGAATAAAGGTAATAGTGCAATAGTCTTCCTCATATTCAGATTACAGGTAGTACCACACATTAATTATGATTTACGTTTCTGGTAAGGACCGAGCTTTAGTAAGATGAAAAAAGGTTCTAAGGAACTAAGTAATTTTAAAATTCCTAATATTGTATGTATGTATCCGTAATTTCTGTTAGCATGAAATCCGTTTTTATTAATGGCAACATTTGTGAAAAATGAGTTTCAGCATTGACATCTCCACCGCGAAACTGCAAATCGGTTTACGCATTGTAAAACCCATGAACGGAGATGTAAGTACATTTTGAGACTTGTTGAAAATTCAGATTTATGGCATTGAACGTAAATAATGTTCGATCATGAAGGTAGCAAAACTGTTAGATCTCTTGGCGCACTATTTATATATGTGGAAATCAAGTCGCTACCAGCGTCAATGTCGTGTTTTGCGCCTTTTATTTGTTGGTTTATCGTGCCGCATGTTAGATGTGGCATGATAACATATCAAACTTCATCAATATACGAGTAACTGCAAATACAGAGTGCTTCAAAAAAATGTATACACACTTTAAACTATTGTAGTTTTTCCGCTCTACAAGGCTAATGTTATATTTCTACGCCAGGTGCCAGCATAATAGTCCCTCTATGTTATATTATCAGTTGGAATTTGTAATATCAACATGGGGGACGTACGTTTGAGTTTTGAAGAACGTAAGCAGGTTATTACGTGATACGGGATACGTGAACCGGGATTTATGGGTAGCATCATGTGGTCGGATGAAGCCCAATTCAAACTTAATGGAACTGTCAATAGGCACAATTGTGTTTACTGGGGTGAAGAAAATCCTCACATTACAATTGAAAAAGCTGTAAATTTGCCTGGTATAAATGTGTGGTGCGGTTTGTCTTCAAGGGGACTCATTGGACCTTTTCGATTTGAAGGCACTGTAACTGGTATTAATTACCTAACAATGCTTGCTGATTCCATATTTCCTGCCATTCGTGCATTATACGGTAATGATGATTTTTATTTTCAAGAAGATGGTGCTCCGCCGCACTATCACAGGGACGTACGAGCTTACCTGGATCAAAATTTGTCGGGCCAGTGGATAGGACGCAGGGGGCCAATCGAGTTTCCAGCACGCTCTCCAGACCTTACACCACTGGATTTCTTCTTGTGGGGCACAGTAAAAGATGAGGTGTACAAACGTAAACCACGTAACCTGGACATTCTTTGGAATGAGATTCAAGCAGTGTGTAGAGAAATCTCATTGGACGTTTTGATACGATGTACAGAATCTGTGGTGACTCGTACTCAGAATTGTATTGATGCTGCAGGTCACCAATTTGAACAGTATTAACATTTGTTATTTATGTTTCATTTACATTGGACTTTCAGCTTTCTATTTTCCTGAAATTTAACTTTGTAGAACGGTAAATAAATTTTCTATGGAAGTTCAAAGTGTGTATACATTTTTTTGAAGCACCCGGTATTTTGCAGCGTGGCTCTACCGAGTAAAAGGTTTGTTATAAAGACACATACTCGTATTTTACCCACTCCTTCAATTTAACAGATGCTCGTATTGAAGTAGCGGTGCAGGAACTGAGGACGGTCCGCTGCAGGACGGGTTTGTATCATGTTTATGATGGGCGCCTGAACTGGCATCAGGCTGCAGCTTACTGTGTGATGAACAAGATGACGTAAGTCTTAACTAAAACTATTTAACGTATATAAAATAATTGTCGGTATTAAATGCACAATGAAATAAACAGAAATAAAAGTGTCCTGTGTAATAAAATAAATACATTTAAAAAATATTTTGTGTTAAAGAATAAAATATTTATATATCGAATTGCGGAATAAGACGCTCTCGTTGAAGAGTTCAATCTAACGTAGATTACGTGATAGTAATCAGTTTGAGGATCGCTCAATTGGAATTTGTACAAATTTTATGTAAAACAATTAGTAAGTATATATATTTTACAGTTTAGCGAACATTGGAACCATGAGATGCTTGAGGAAATTAGGACTCACCATGCTAAAATCTAGACCAAGTAAGTAGATTTTTTACCGATTTCTTTAAAATAATCAATTAGTCAATCAAAATAATGTTTATTGTGCCCGAATTAATTACCAATTTTTTTGTTGTAAAGTTACAGCCTATATTTACATGTCACGGCTGAGCACAAGTCTCCTGTTATTTCGTAAAAGGTTATGGAGCAAACAGCCCGCTTCGATACTGTTTGTAATATACAGGCTTATTTTCCAATAACGGGCCAAATTTGCAGAGAGTATTCAGAATAAAAAATATGGGCAAATGGTGAAAGAAAATAAATGATAAAATCTTAAACATTCTGTCTCTCATATCTTTTAAATTCAAAATACGTGGTAACGTATTATTTTAACTGATTTTACTGCGCACACACACATTCGTAAGGGTCGATCGATAGGCAAAAACGTTGTTGCCCATAAATTACATTCAATTTGGGATAATTTCAATTAAAAGTAGAAGTCTTATTATATTAGTCATTAGAAGTATTAGAATTCTTTGTTGGCAGCAATGTCCATGGACTAAAGTGGTCATTTACCAGAAATTGGACTGTTTTACATAATGATTTCTTATATTTACGCGAACACTACACATTGAAACAATACTAGTTTTTACGGAATTAATCGCGTATATTTAACTTTTTAAATACCGGATTTCGGGAGCTTTACAGTACCCATGGTCACGGGAAGGACCATAGATTACTGTATATATTGGGAAGGACTGAGATGTTAAACGTCCAGATGTCATAGTTAACCGCGGTTACCATAGATTAAAATTTAACTTTTGTTCCGATCTACACAGTATGAACTTATGGTATCATGAAGTCTTGCAGTTGTATGCTTGGGTTGGGATTTAATTTTATTTATTATAGGATCCCAAGCAGATGGTAGCACCCAGCCATCTTCTCTATTGAAATTAGGATGTTTTTTGATTTCAATAGCCTCCCGAATCATTCTTGGAAGGAATCGGTGTTCTTTAGCGAGGATTTGTGGTCTATCAAATCTGATGTAGTGACGGGGGCGATCCTGTATATGTTCACAGACTGCAGACTTCCCGGAGCGTCGATTCTTCACATCAGCTATATGTTCTTTGACGCGGGTTTTAATTGATCTTTTAGTTTGTCCTATGTAGGAGAAACCACATTCACAATCAAGCTTGTGCATTCCTGCATCTTGCAGAGGGACGTTACACTTGACTGATGGTAAAAACTGACCAATCTTCTTCGGCGGCTTGAAGTATGTTTTGATGGAAGCGCGCTTCAAGATGTAGCCAATCTTGTCAGTGACTCCTCTAACATATGGCAGTACAGCAGGTACACGCTCGACTGTGGCCGGCTTCACTCGTTCTCTGTGACGTAGGCGCGGGACCCGAAGCTTGTTGTAATGCAAAACTTGCTTGACGTGTTGGAGCTCGGCAGCCAGGTGATTACTGTCACAGATCCCTCGTGCTCTCTGAAACAAAGATTTACCCACGGTAGCTAATTGTGAGGGATGGTGGTGAGAATCACCGTTTAAATATCTATCTGTATGGGTGTTTTTTCTATACACAGTATGGCTCAAGGTGTTATCAGGATTCCGAATTACTAACACATCTAGAAAAGCTAAGGAATTGTTTGCCTCTAAAAAGCATACTAATTTCAATAGAGAAGATGGCTGGGTGCTACCATCTGCTTGGGATCCTATAATAAATAAAATTAAATCCTAACCCAAGCATACAACTGCAAGACTTCATGATACCATAAGTTCATACTGTGTAGATCGGAACAAAATTAAATTTTAATCTATGGTAACCGCGGTTAACTACGACATCTGGACGTTGAACATCTCAGTCCTTCCCGTGACCATGGGTGCTGTAAAGCTCTCGAAACTTCGGCTATTTAAAAAGTTAAATATACGTGATAAATTCCGTAAAAACTAGTATTATTTCAAGTTGGACTGTTTGTTTGTCGCTTCATTTTTGTAAAGAAACATAAGATTGTTACATAAATTCATTATTCAATTTATTTTAGGCATTGAGAGCGCTTGGGTGGGTGCAAAAGGTTCGCTCGGGCACTGGACATGGATCGACTCCGGCTTAAGCATCTTTCAAACAACTTCGTACACAGATGTTCAACCGGAAATGTGGCCACCAATGAGGTATTTTCATTCTATTTCAAAGATTCAAATCTGTAAACTGTGATAGTTCTTAGTTTATCCTCTTACTCGGATACACCTGAATAAAAGGTTTATATTGCTCCTCGAGTATCAATGATAGGAATCAAGACTGATGATCGCAAATACTTTACTCCTTTATTATTTTCTCGTTTGTTTATACAAACGAGTACACATGCATCTGATGGTAAGTGGTTGTGGTCGGCCAAAGACACTATATCTACTATCTATTAATAATAAAATGCAGATGCGTTATCAGCCCTGAGGACCAAGATAGAATGCCTTGTTACTAGCAAAATTTATTTTGATTCTCGTCCCTCGCGAAACACAACAGCATTAAGCTGCTATTTCACGCTGGTATTGGAGGAATTGGATGGATGCAGATTGTTCCGATCTGTCATTTGGTAGTATTCGTTAGAAGAGTTCTATGTTAAGCGATGGACTTGTAAAGTCTAGTATAATAAAAACTTCCAATATTCACAATTCCAGAGACCGGTCTACAGTGAAGCAGAGCGGTTGCCTTCAACTGGATAGACATACAACTCGAACACCCGTGTTCTTAGAAGGCCGTTGTGAAAGAAAGATGCAATTTATTTGCTATCGAGGTAAGCTACATAATTCCTCCCGCGCCCTATCACCATCGGCCAACCAGACACTCAGCCAGCCTTAACCCTTTTGTCGATAACACGAATTCAAACCGAACGGTTTTCTTCGTTATTCGCTATGCTAGATGTGTTTCTTTAAAACAAAAGCGAATAAGCTTTTGTTAAGGCCCTCAGTGCTTGCACAATTCAAATGCAGTATGTATAAAAGGTTTCCAAATAAACATAACGAAAAATACCAAGTCAAACAAATTACTATACATATTTTATGCTCACAAACTCACTCATCTAACCTATAGAGTACGTCCCATGGAGCTAGAATCAGGAAATTTGGCAAGGAGTCAAGTCTCATAAGCAAGAAATATTTTTATTATATTATATATATAATAATAAGATAAAAAAATAATTTTGCAGTTACAAATCAAATTAACATGTGCATGTGGTGGAACATTTTCCGCTGCAAAGTTAAGTTTGTCTTTCACGTTTTCGTTAGTTCAGTGTTCGATGCTTACCATACCAATAATCATCAGGATGGATGAACTATTTTTTTTTATATAAGAGGGGGCAAACAAGCATGCGGCTCACCTGATGTTAAGTGACTACCGCCGCCCATGATCAACCGCAACACCAGGGGAATTGCAGGTGCGTTGCCGGCCCTTTAGAAAGGAGTATGGTCTTTTCTTGAAGGTCCCCAGGTCGTATCGGTCCGGAAAATCGCCGGTGGTAAACTATTCCACAGAGAGATCGTACGCGGAAGAAAACTCCTTTTGAAACGTACAGTGGTGGACCGCCAAGCATCCAGATGGTGTGGATGGTATCGGGACGTTTGCCGCATAGTGCGTTCACGAAATTTGGAGGCAGGGATTAATCCAAACAATTCCTCAGAGCACTCACCACGGTATATGCAAAAGAAAATGCAAAGAGATGAAACATTCCTTCGCAGTGCCAGTGAATCTGATCGGATAGCACTCGGTCGTCGACGATTCGAGCCGCTCTGCGCTGGATGCGGTCAAGTGGAAGAAGCTGGTACTGGAGAGCCTCAGCCCAGAGATTGGAACAGTATTCCATGTGCGGCTGAACCTGCGCCTTGTAAAGTTGCAGGCGGTGTGCCGGCATGAAATACTGTCCCGCTCTGCTAAGCACGCCAAGCTTTTTAGAGGCCAATTTGGCCTTCTCTTCCAAGTAACCACGAAACTGCACGTCACTCGATATGTCGACGCCGAGGATTCCGATACTGGCTGAGGCAATAAGGGGGGGTGCCTTGAAACTGAGGATATGCGACAAAGGGGTTCTTTTTAGCGGTTAACGCGCAAACTTGTGTCTTCTGGGGGTATTTAAATATATACCTACTTAATTTCATTTGTACGGAATCCTTAGAGCCTTAGTGCTAATCGCAACTATCCGGTTTTTTACATTTAATTGTATTTGCAGGTGTAGTCGGTATGAGGCGATCCGAAGCGATACCAAGCGACGATAATTATTACTACATCTTAGTCCGCCAGCAGTACTATTGGCAGCACGCTTATGAAAATTGCTTAAAAATGAATGGAACTCTCGCCAGTATTGACAACCATGAAATTTTGGTACAGTTGCTGCTTGTTATGGGTGAAAATAAAGACGAACGTAAGTATAAAAATTGAATTATATAAGTAGCGCCATCTATCATCAAGTTAAGCTACTTATATAATCTACTTATATAAACGTAATCATTCAAAAAATTTTTAATTTAACTCTCTGGCTTTTATGCTGACTATAAATAGTTTATTATTCAGTAAATATCTTGTAAATATTTACTGAATAATAATCTTGTGTAATAAATCTGTGGTAGCTCAGAGAATATGATCGCACTCGCTAAACATTTCAAAGTACGCGAGCAACCCGGGTTTGATCCCCGCCGGCAACAACGACATTGTTAATTCCGATTTAAGAGCTGATTTACCACGTGCTCGGCGGTGAAGGAAAACATTTTGAGGAAATATGCATGTCTGAAAAATATGAAAAAAATGTTTCGAAGACATGTGAAAGTTCACCAACACACATTGAAGCAACGCGGCGGACATTTCCTTGCCTTATAACCCTCCCAGATATGAGAGGAGGCCTATACCCAGTAGCGTGACACATAATGGCTGTAACCTCAACTTTTTACTTTTATCACAATGCCTACCTTTCTTCCATAAATACTGACCGTATGTGGATGCTTAGTCTGCGTGATAGAATCCATGAGTCAGTGACATTGTATGCAAAGTCCAAAGAGCAGCAAACTATTCGGACAAGGTTAAGCAAAAAAAAAATTGGTTTAAATGGAAAATTGTGAATTAAGGGATAGGTAGCTGGCCCATCGCCTACACGATCACAACTCAATATCCTATTAGTGGTCATTAAAGTCATTATAGTAAAGTAGCAGAGATGGGAAAAAAATCTTACGATTATGTTCCTTCTATATTTCAGTTACGGGATATCTTCGACAATTGTGGACCAACGATTAATGATTCCCAAGTTTTTTTATTATATAGGTTATAGACTTAACTTTACTTTTACTTACGAGTAACTTAAATTTGCTTTGTTACTCTTACTTTACCACCGAAGCTTTCTATCTGGTCTCCTTTTGGTCACAACGTCTTACAAACCACTCTACTCCTATCAAAAACTTACTTCTTAACGGCCGAATTTCTACAGCATCAATTTTACTCTCATACAATTTTCACTAATACCTACATTAATTGAGGTACCAGCTAATCTCATTTTATCTTCAAAATTGCAGCTGTTGAACACATTTGGATCTCTGGTCGTCTTAATGTTACAAAGGACGTTAATTCCGAGTTAGTGACGTACGCCTGGTATAATCCGATGAACAAGAAAAAAATTCCCGACCCAAAAAGTGACAGTGAATCGATATATGGATTGTATGTAAGTATTTTTTATGTTAATATTTTAGAACGCTAAATAACCACACTGTTAATAAAACATTTACCACAAAGTAAGCAATAGAATAATATATAAGAAAAGAAAGGATAATCGTGTGGTTTAAGAATATGCACTACCCCAAAACATCCCATGGATGTATCCGATCCAGGAGTTGGGCAGCAGAATCCCTAGTATCCCCCAATGAGGCATTCTGTAGGAGAGGTCTATGGTCAGCAATGGAATTTTCTATATAATTAGATAATTCTTCATTTGATGATAATATCTGAAAGCTAGTCTTGTCTGACTAGTTGCTGTGACCGAAAATTCGTAAATGGGTTACGCACAGTACATTTAAGGATGCAAAGATGGACAACTTATCTGCTTGGAACTCTACTTAATACTCGCGTTGTTTAAGCTGCAAGAACTCGAAATTAATAAAACCATTGCTCATACACCTTGAACTATGAAGGCGATTTGTTGAGTACACAATGTTTTATAGCACAAAATACCGCATGATATGTGTTTGCTATCTTACGAAATAGCAGGCAGATCTGAACCACATAGTATACAGTACAAATGCTGCAAATGGTACAGCTGCCTTATGTAACTACGAGTATATGAATGACTTTTATTTTTGGTTATTACCCATCATTGTGAGTATAGACAGGGACAGTATGCAAGCGAGAGGTGAACTTTTTACGTGATAGAGCTACGCTGCAGCTATGAGCTGCTATATCATGGCTGCAGCACGAATGAGTCGGCTCGACAGGTGTAATACCACACTATTACAGAACATCAGTGTGAAATAGCAGCTTAATGCTGCTGCATTTCGTATGGTAGATGTAGAAACCAGAGATATTTTCACTGGAAATGAGGAATTCCATTTTAGTCCTCAGTGGTGATAATGCATCTGCATTTTGAATCTCAATCGAGAATAGATGTAAGATGTTTATGAGCCACAGCATCGTTTTACCTTCCGGTGCACTGTGCGCCCGCATCTCTATTATTATTCTATAAAAAAAGAATATTGGCGACCCCAATAATTATAATCCCGTTCTTAATATACGTGAGTAGTAGATGGAAAATGTTTTACCAACTTAGGGTTTGATTGATGATATCACACTCTTTTTAATATTATAACTGTATATAATAAATCATATTGCATTACTTATATTCGAAAAGATTTCCAATAGAACCAATAATAAAGTAAATATTTTTCTTAATAATACCACCAGATGCCGCCTTGGTTAGACGAAGAGTTTACAATGGATAACCCCTGTTTGAATCTCGACAGGCAAGATCATTTGAACGGTCTTGTGTATGGAATGTCTTGTGATACTCCTCAGTACTCCATTTGCATGATTGGTAAGAAATAGTTGTTTTCATGTTAAATATCCATGCATAATTAATTATTAAAAGTATAGAATGGTTCATTTTGGTTGAGAAGTTAAGTATGGCCTCTGCTAATCAAGTATGGCGGCAGAGAGAAACTGAAATGAGATTGGTAGCAGCATTTTATGTGTAGTAAAACCATGCTATAGCTATATTATGATTGTATGTAGCACAAAGTGGACGGCGGGACAGGACCACAGTCTTACAGAATACCAGCCTAAAATAGCAGATTGATGCTGTGAGTGTAGAGAACCGGATACCCTTTTCACTGGAAACGAGGCATTCTATCTAAGTCCCCAGGTGTGACAATGCATCTACATTTATTATCATTATTATGTAACAGGTTAGCAGTTGGAACAACTGATAAAAGCCTGTATCTTAGTTTCAAATTTAATTTTTTAGTTGTCTACTCAATCATCTGGGGCTGTCACTTCTGATGGCAGCTTGTTCCATGTTTTAAGCACTCTTTGGCTAAGAAAGTGCTTGTGTGAGTTATTATGTGACACGGCTAAGGGTTAATTTGAGGCAGTGCCTCCTACAATTCTTAATCAAATATAAATGCAGACATCTACGGGCCCCAACTTCCACTTAGCATCAGGTGGACTGTGTGCTTCATCGTCACCCTTATTCTGTGAAAGAAATCAATGTTGCAAACCTGCTTTTGACAAGTGTGTCAACTGCGGCAAATCTGCCTTCTATGAGGCAATCTATGGAGGACGTCTTTGTTCAGCAATGGACTGTGATAGGCTGTAATGAAGATGATGATGTGATATGAAATTACCAACTGATTGCTTTGTCAAGGATTTAAAGCCAAGACCCAAGACTCAGTAGGTATACTATAGATACTGATGCCTATAATCAGACACAACAAGTGTATAAAAATTAACACAAACGTACTTATAAATATTAACTTTTATTTGTTACAGAAAAGTCTACTTCAAAGCCCACATCGATGGAAAGTTTAGTTGAAGGAAGTGACACAACATAAGTGGCTGTAATTATGAATTATGATTAGTTATTATTAATTTATTATTACTAATTTAGTAGCTTTAACAGTTTCCCTGTCCAAGGATCAGTCACAATAGTTAAACAATTGCAATGTAAATATGTGATTCATGACACAGGGAAAGGGTTAATGTTAAAATAAATTTCCACGTATAGAATAAATTATTACGTATATAGTAAAACATGTCTTTCCAGTGTAAACATTTTGTAATAAGTTTTTTATTAAATATATTTAGCCCGCCTTAGCCTATAAACATTTGGGGGGGGGGGGGTCTATTGTCATATATTAGAGAATAGGCCAGGTGGGCAGGGCCCAACTCAGGATGTTGTTTTAACAACCCATAATTCTAGAATTTGCCTTGAAATAATTTCACAAAATCAACATTTATCAAAGTTTTATGGGTTAATTTTAATTCATATATCAGGTTTCGGTTGCTTGGAAAATAACGGGAGTATTATTTATTATTTAAAGCTTTAAAGATAGTCTATTATTAAATAAAGTAGGGTTATCTCGAGGCTCGGGATCCTGTAATACATAATAATCACATACAATAGTGGCTACATGCTTGCTATTTAGGTTTTTTCATAAATAGAATTATAATTTTATAATGAAGCTAAAAACAGTTTTCTTCACTTAAGACCTTCTTTGGTAACATTCAATTAACATGCTGTACTGATAATATGAAGTCATAATACACTTAGGTTGTAGCTGTTAGTATATTTTATTCTGTAGCTAAAACCTTAACAATTTAAATAAGTAGAATAGTAGCATATATAGCAATAATTAAGTTTTTTACTGTTACGTTAAGTACTATTCAGTAAGTAAAAAATAACTATCAATAAATTGTAATTCTTTAATAGGTATTAAAATAACAAAAGAAATTGTATTTTATTTTAAAATTACCCAAACTATTGTTCCTATTATTATATTCTCTTTAGACTTATTTATTTCACTTAATAATCACATAAGGTGCAGTCCAATCATATAATTAAGGTATATTACACACTAAATAGTCTTTAACCCATTTACACACGTTTATTGGAACCATTAACACAACATAAAGAATATTTACATACATAAACACTCACGCCTGTCACCCAGAGGGGTAGGCAGAGACTACAGACTTCCATTTGGCACGATCCTGACACACCTCTCTCGCCTCCTTCACATCCATACACCTACGCATGCATGCTCGTCGGTTAAGGGTACTCCTAATTTGGCCCGTTTTCAATAAATCGCCAATTTGGTCGATAAATTTTCGTCTAGGACGTCCCTTTCCGACTCTGCCATTCACTTCTGCAACATAAATTTTCTTTGTCACTCTTTCCTCATCCATTCTTTCCACATGACCAAACCACCGAAGCATTCCTTTCTTAATCCTGGTCACAACATCATCTTTCAAACCACACTCTTCTCTTATCACACAATTCTTCACCCTGTCATTCAGATTCAGCCCTAACATACTCCTTAACGACCGCATTTCTACTGCATTTATTCTACTCTCGTGCTTCTTCTGCCACACCCAACTTTCACTACCATACGTTAAAGTAGGGACCAACACAGCATTGTGAATTGCCATACGTGCCTTTTTTGACACATTTTGACTCTTCACAATAGAGTGCAGGGTGCAACTCATCTACTTGCTCGATCAACTCCCCTTCTATTTTTATTTCACATATCGTTTTACTTTCATCTCTTTCAAAAACCATAATTTTCGTCTTACTTGCGTTCACTTTCATACCCCTTTCTTTTAATGATTTGTTCATTAATGTAACCATCATTTGCAACTCAGCCACTGACGACACAAGAATAAATTGATCATCGGCGTACAAAAGGCATTTGACGGTTAACTCACCCATTCTTAATCCGCATTCTTCAACTTTCAAATTTTGCAAACAACTGTCCATAAATAGGTTGAACAACCACGGGGAAGCCACACAGCCCTGTCTGACACCTTTATGGATGCCAAACCAGTCGGAGTAGACCCCGTTGATCCTAACACAAGCACTAGAGTCCCTATAAAGAGATTCCAATGCCTGTATCAAGCCAGCGCTCAACCCAAATGAGTTCAGTGTTTGCCATAGCACATTCCTATCCACTCTGTCATAGGCCTTCTCCAAGTCCATGAACGCACAAAAAACCTTTTGGTTTTTGGCCAAAAAACTTCTCCGCGATCATGCGCATGGAGAAGACTTGATCTGTACATCCCATTTCCTTTCTAAATCCCGCTTGCACATCCCAAATTTTTCCATCGGTTTCTTTCATGACCCTTTCAATATTCAAAGAATATTTAATCGCTTATATACGTAAGTTTACTCCTATTTTGGCTTTTTTGAAGAACGAGTCTTCTGAAAATCCTGAGTCGACCTGCTTGATGAACGTTGATCGTTGACAGTCTACGTTATCTTGTTAGTTTATCTCAGTTGCGTCATGGTATTGGTAATCTTGGTATAGTAGTAGTCTATATATAGCGATAAAACTTTTTAACAAAAAAATTAAACCTTCGAAAAAGCTGAAAAGCAAAAAAGTATAAAACTTTTTTTTACCTTGATAACTAAGTTCTTAAACTAATGTAAGTGCACCTAAGTATATGTTTTTGTAATTGTTTTGACTTTTTAGGTCACCTTAACTAAGTCCTTAACTTAATGTAAGTATACCTAAGTAGCCATGTAGTGGCGATTAAGAATATCCACTACCCCATATCTTCCCGTGGGCGTCGTAAAAGGCGACAGAGGGAAACAAGCAGGAGATGGGCAGCAGCATCTTCCTGATAACAGCAACTGTACAAATAAACTGCGGTTGCCAACCCGCTCGTCGAGCGTGGCAACTATGGCAATATACCCCTCATGATGAGAGTTACAAAGGAACGGCCCCCAGTCCCCGGCGGCTCCGCTATTCTTGACTACGGTGGCGACCATGGTAACAACGGGGCAGGTGGTGCTATGAATCTCCGGTGGAGGTTCGGTTGCCACCTAAAATGACTTGACCTGGCAACATAAGACGCAGGCTCGCTGTGGACTGACTAGTAGATCCTGGAGCTGGAAGAAGCGATAGACAAATTGCACTGGAATATTATAGGATTATCCGAGATACCGTAGAGAGGGGGAGGACACGGTGATTTTCGAATCTGGTAACTTGTTCTATCATCGGGAGGGCGACCATCTGTCCCAAGGAGGTGTTAGATTTATCGTCCACAAGTTTCTCGTTAAAAACGTTGTAAAGATTGGGAGTGTGTCAACGAGGGTTGCGTACCTTATACTCAGAACCACCAAACGGTATTCGCTGAAGGTCATACAGGTTTACGCACCAACGTCGGAACATCCCGATGAGGAGGTGAAGGAAATGTATGAGGATATTTCTAGAGCCATGCATTCCTGCAAAACTTTTATTTTCAAATTTATATGCGACCAATTTCGGGGTTTCGATACCCTGTCTAATAAAAAAGAATTATCAAAATCAGATATCTCTGTAATAAATCACCCCTATTTTCCCATCCTTAGGGTAAACATTTTTATTCCAAATGGGACCAATTTCGAGATATACACTACCTATTAAAAAAAGAATTATCAAAATCGGACAACTTTATAAAAAGTTATGCGTGGTCATACATAAAAAAATACTCGCGTCGATTTGAGTACCTCCTCCGTTTTTTAGTCGGTTGATAAAAAGGCCAAACTGAGAGCCTAACATTAGGAGTTCTGTATGCTCATTGTATTTCAGTGCTTCGTCTTCGTAATTTAATAATCATCGTTTTATAAATTCTATGGATAAACTGGTAGATAATGCATTAGTCCCCCCTTGTGTACTTTTCTAAGGGAACGCAATAAAGAAATTAATATTTTATTTATATTATATTTATATAGCTGTCATTTTTTATTTTATTTATACGTGGTAGAGCCATGCTGCTGTTATATTAGTAGTATAGTTGTAGCACGAATGGGTCGGCTCGACCGGGGAAGGACCACGCTCTCACAGAATACGAGCGTGCTGTGTTTCGTATGATGAGTGTAGAGAACCGGAGACCCTTTTTACTGGAAACGAGGCATTCCATCTTAGCTCTCACGGGTGACAACGCATCTGCATTTTGATTTGTAATCGAGGATAGATTTAGATATCTATGGGCCGCAGCTACCACTTACTATCAGGTGGCCTGTGTGCTAGTTTATTACCCTACTCTGTAAAAAAATCATAGTATATATATATATATATATATATATATATATTACTCATGTACGATAATATATGTGTACACAAGCAATTTTAATACTCCGGCAGCGGTCAATCTAGTTCCCAGCTGGAACCCTTGAAACTTTTTAGTTAGTTGAAGGCTAAGGGATAATAGCTCATACTGTCTAATCTGCCGTATTTTTTTTAAATTAAAAAAAAAGAATGTTAAGCATGCTATAAACATTACTAATATTCCCCTTAACCACTCGTGGTAAGCTTAAATTGCTTGTGTTACGAGTGGTTCACGCCAGTAGTCGAATGGCGGATTCGATCCCACGACCTTTTTGAGTTCGCGGTCGGCGCCCTGCCATTAGGCTACTGTCGCTTTTCTTTTCTTTCTTGGTTATGGACTGACGGTGTACGGTTATATTTTTACCAGTGTCAAGTAACAATATAGCAACATTGGCCACCGGCATGTTGGAGAGAGGTGCTACAAAACCATAAACTAACAAATTTACACCAATATAGATACATTATAACACAATCGCTCGCTGACAGCGGCAACTCGGATACAGACACAGAGTACTTTCTATATACCTGAAAGATACAGACTGGGATCAGTCGCTCGACCGATCTGCATATTGTATGTATGAGGGTGAGCGGTCTGTGTTATTAAACACATCCGGAACAAAGCCACCATCATTATTATAATTTTTAAGTTTAAAACAAAGAAAATTGAAATAATGTGATTAAAAATTACGTATATACATAAAATGAAAGGTAGCGAAAAATTTTTATAGGACATCGATTCCGCC